TGACTCCGAGGGAAAGCCATGATAGCAGGTCGAGGTGAACTCTGGTTCAAGCCAAGCCAGGATCAAGCCATCTAGCTTGGCAGCAATATGCGTCGCACAGAAATTATCTTCCTGATGATTGGCTGGTGCAGAGAGGTCCAACAGGAGCGAGCATCGGCATACGGGCTGGTTCTGACACTCATCTCACACACACTGTTATGTCTCGGCCAATGACGGCACCTTCGTCGCTGGACAAAAAGTAACTGCAGTCTAAAATGAACGGGCGTAAGAGAAGCAGCATGATGCGCACGAGGGATCCAACCTGGGCCGGATGTGGACCAGGGGTTCACGGAGGTCCGACCACCATGAGATTAATTTCCGATGGGTTGTTCCTGGCCTTTCCTAACACAATCGGACCAAGAAAAGAAACAGAAAAAAAGTCAAAGTGAAAAAAAAGAAATGACAAGCCGGGACAAGATAGACAAGGCCAGACAAGCAACAGAATACGAGATAATTCTTATGGTTGACCCGAAAGGGTCAAACAGCCAAGGCAGCCTGGGGCACGTGGTGCCAAGAAAGCTTGGCCTCTCTCCGGCCGGCATTGCAGCACGTGCCCCCATCGCGCCCTCTCATTCCCCGGTTGCGATACACACCCATCTGCATCATCCCGGTTGACTCGAGGGGTTGCTGCTGTCCAATCCCCTTTGCATCCCGGACCATGCTGACGGCTCTGTCCGTCGTAAGGTTACACCGTCCATGCTTTTGCACTTCTGGAAAACTACTCACTTTTTCTCCCTAGTCAGATACACAGGCAGGAGGACACATTCCAGCTTAGCCTCTGCATGACGTTAACCCACCTTTTGGGTCCAGCTCAAAAGACATCATGGCTTAAGTCCACCTGAGAACCTACGGTTTCGGTTTGCGCCGTCAACCCACACCTTTCATAGGCCATACTGAATCATCACCAACATGGCACTAGTACTAGTCTGGTCGGACGGGGCCTGGCTGCCCCCACCCATGCACACCCACTTCCCCCCGAATTGACCCATCGACCCGCTCGGGGGACTAAGTAGGTACGGTTGTAATGCAGTCTTTCGTACACCCTCTTTTTTGCCTTCAGCTAGACATGGTAGTCATGCTAGCGTCCAACTGCAGTGGCCTGTTCGACTCGCTTAAGGCTGTCTGTCGCGTGCGACGATGACTACGCGACACCCTCTCGCCAACCACGTGCAGCGATACCACGAGTTCCCCTGGCCAACCACAACCGCTCTCTGCAGAACGTGCTGGTGCTATTCTTTCGAGATGCATAGATCAGTCGCTACGCCGGTTAGCTGACAAGCTGACACCTCGAGACACGCCGACATGGGATTCTCGATTCCCTTCTTGATATTTAAAAGGCGAGGGATCGCCGCTCGTCTTTGCTGACCCTGCTTGCCATCTGCATCTCAAGTTCAGACCATCCTTATCTTTCTTGCAAGTCCTTTTCATCCTCCCTCCGAGGAATCCTCTGCAGATATGGCGGACTTTGGCCCTCGTGCTCCTCACGGGCCCGACATGAACGGCAAGCAGGATTTCGCCGAGATGCATCCCAATGAGAAGGAGGGTTTCGATCGCCTCCTCCGTCCCGATGACAGCTACACGGCCCAGGGTGTCTACTGGGCCGACCTTCCCATTGGCCAACGTATCAAGTTCGTCACCTCGGTCGACAACAAGGAGCGTAGTCGTCAATGGTCGGCTCTCTGGGCTGAGATCAAGAGGGATCCCCTCTCCCCAATGATGGGCTACTTCCGCAACACCATCATCCCAGGTGCTGGTATTGGCTTGGAAGGGTATGGTTACCCCATATCAATTGATCTGCATTTATTTTTTCTAACGCACGTGCCCATAGTTACGTTCTCTTGTCCATTGGAAACATCTCCACCCTCTTCCAACATTCTTTCTCGACTTGCTGGGATAAATACGAAATTTGTAACAAGCAGTGGATCAACGCTATTACCTACCTTGAAATCGTCGGTATAATCATCGGCCAGGTCCTCGTTGGTGTCATTGGTGACTGGGTGGGTCGTCGTTGGGGTTTGCTGCAGGATGCCTGGATCATGTTCCTGGGCCTGGTCATGTTGACTTGCGCCTGGGGTGTCACACAAAACGGCTGGGTCATTTGCTATGCTTGGTCCCTGTTCATCTACGGTATCGGTGTTGGTAAGTTAAAACATTCCGCTTTACATTGGCGACACAAAAGCCCCCTCTCGAAAGCCGATCAGCTAACTCTTCTAAGGTGGTGAGTACCCTATGACTGCTACCAGCGGTATGGAGAATGCGGTTGGTTCCGGCAAGCTCTCTACTCGCGAAGATCGTCTTCACCGTGGTTCCAAGGTCGTTGGTGTGTTCTCCATGCAAGGTTGGGGTCAGGTCCTGAACCAGGCTATCCTCATGATCTTGCTTCTTATCTTCAACGCTGGTAGCGGAGAGGAGCCTATCAGCCAAACCAACACCCAATGGACCTACCGTATCTCCTTCGTCATCCCCATGGTTGGTACCTTCTGGCTCATCTACTACCGTGCCTACCACATGAAGGCTGCTAGTAAGCAGCTTGCGGCCACCAAGAAGAAGAACTCGGTCACTGGCTACGACACTGAATCTCTTCGCCTTACTTTCAAGTACTTTACTCCTCGTGTTTTGGCCACTGCTGGTGGATGGTTCGCCAACGACGTTTTCTTCTACGGTGCCAAGCTCTTCTCCAGTGACTTTATCAAGGTGATCAGTCCCAACACCAAGTCCATCTTCGTTACCTGGCAGTGGAGTTTCATCAACTGCGTTGTCACCCTGATGGGCTATTATGCTGCCATTATGCTCGTGGACAATAAGCTCTATGGCCGCAAGTGGATGCAAATCATGGGCTTCTTGCTCTGCTTCATCGTGTACGTGGTGCCTGCTTTCCACTACCACTACTACACCCAAGCCGCACACATCCACTCCTTCCAAGCCATGTACTTCTTGGGCAGTTTCTTCAACCAATTCGGCCCCAACTGCATTACCTTCCTGGTGGCTGGTGAAGTCTTTCCCACCCCCATCCGTGCCACCGCCCACGGTATCTCCGCTGCCTGCGGTAAGCTGGGAGCCTTGTTGGCTGCTATCCTCTTCAACTACATCGACACCCAGACCAAGTTCTACTTTGTGCCCTGGTGGGGTATTTTTGGCATGTTCCTGACTTACTTCTTCCTTCCGGACACCACCGGTCTGGATCTCAAGGAGCAGGAGCGCCGCTGGAGATTCATTCGCGAGGGTCGCGAGAATGAGTACCACGGTGTTGCCATCCACCCCAAGCACCTGTCTTTGTGGGAGCGCTTCCGTGGTGTTGGTAAGTACTACGACCCCGAGTTGGACTACCAGCAGCGCGTCGAGGAGTACCGCTCTGAGTGGGAGGCCATCATGGCCCGCCGCAGCGAAGAGACCAAGACCAGCGATGATGTTGACTTGGCTTTCGTCGAGGATGACCTCTTGGAGGGCTCCGTTCACAACTACTTCCACCGCACCAGCTCGTTCACTAAGAGTCAGAGCGTGGAGAAGGTCACTGAGGCCGAGCCCTCGGAGTAAAAAAGTCATCGCAGCATCTAAATTTGCACCATGCCCCTCACAGGCATGGAATGGATATACCCACACATACCCCCTTATATATACCCGTCGCTCATGCGACTTTACAATTCGCGCTGGATAAACATCTCTTCTAGCTTACCTTATACTATCTAATTTCCTGTCTATAAATTCGATGTCTGGATGGTTGAACGAGGAGCTGAGACATGAATCCATTCATATACTTTTCTTTTTTGTACTTAAATTCAATGCGACTTGGCTCAATCCTGTTGTATCTAAAATGCCTACTACTCTCTCATAATATATATGCTTTTCGTATAAGTCTAATATTCCAAAGTAGAGCTGCTGCTGATAGTAGTGTTGCAGCAGAGCTTATAATCCCTTTGCACCCGATCCTCCTGGACATTCGTTATTATCCACTATCCTCCAACTGGGAAATCACAGCTCCCTTATCCCGTACCCCAAAATCGGATTCCCTCACCTAGGTCAAGCCAAGCATCAAGACAAGCTCATCTCCGATCTGAAGCCGCACGTGGCGCAAACTCACTCCCATGCCAATGCTTGGCTCCTTGCATCCACAATTCTTGGTACAGCTTGGCCAGATGGAACCAAGATCTTGGCGAGATGGCGAAGAATAGAGTTTGTGGAGCATTCAAGCTTTTGCTTTTGGACTTGGCTGGCGGGACTTTGGGATGTGGTGGATTGCTTAGGTTGATGTTGTTGTGGCTGCTTTGGGTGGAGGTGGTTGGTGTGTAGGCGATGGAAGGAGGATGGGTAGTATTGGTGATGAGATGGCGGGTCAATTTCAATATATCGGCGTGGAGTTCAGTATCAGAGAATACAAACTGGTCATTGCACCTAAAAATTGCACAAGTAATGCCTACAAGGTCACCGAAATTATTATGGCCGAATAATGGCGACTCGCAGCTGGAAACGGCCTTGATGCCCCAGGCATTAAGGCCCCTAGCACTAAGCCTAATGTAGAACCCTTTTATCTGGTACTAGATTCCTTTTTTGGGTGACTTCCAGCCACTCCATCCTAGAAGTGCTTGGTTGGGAATCCATGTTCAATGTGAATATGGTGTAGGTATTTGTGTTTTGGTGCCAAATCATTTTTTCTTCTACCATTTACCGCTATGCTGAATTCACAACGCCCATATCACTGTGATGGGGCATGTTGGTCAGGGATATGAATGGGCACCCACGTTCACCAACATGTTGATAAATAGCATTTTAATTCACAACTCCCCTATGATGTCCATTCAATATGACGAGAGCTTATATTCTCTCCCTTTATATTCTCTTCTCTTACCGCCTTCTCTCTTCTTCTCTTCCGTCACTCCTCCATTCCAATCCAGCATTTCCGAGTCTTCTGGTTTTCACTAAGGGTTGCACGGACCTACACGTTTGATTACAGACCTCACGCTAAAATGCGGCCATACATTGAATCTAACATGGAAGACTACGATGAACCCGTGAGTGTGACTTCTAGTGACAGACCAGTTCTATTTACTATATATTCCGAGTCTGCTAACACAGTTGACACCGGGCAGTCATCTAGTGATTCATCTTCTATAGCACAGGATTCCGAGTTCCAGGAAGCCGTTGTGGAACACCAAATGACCCTACTCGGATCAGAGTCCGACACTGATGATGATCGTAGCAAGTCCGAGCATGCACCGATCATCGCAGGCTGTGCTTTGGATGTAGTCGTCAACCAAGATGGCGAAGAAACTGTGTCCGACGGCATCCCCCAGCTCGGATTGCTGGCTGGTTCGATGCATAAGCTGTCCCTAATCAAGAAGGGAGAGGCATTCTCGAAGGAAACTGATCCCAGATTGTTTTTCAATGTCTCCCACCCATCAAGTGTGTTTATTTGTGGATCACAGGGCTCGGGCAAGAGCCACACGCTCTCTTGCTTGCTCGAAAACTGTTTGATCCAGTCCAAGGCTGGAAAACTGCCAAATCCTCTAACTGGGTTGGTCTTCCACTATGACACATTCTTTAGCGACGTGACCGGCTCCCCATGTGAGGCTGCTTTCTTGTCGTCGCACCCAGATGTGAAAGTTCGCGTCCTATGCTCTCCAACGAATGTTTGGCCTATTACCGTTAGTATTCTACTCCGTTTTCTCATGGCCTGGCCGTATCAGATAACTAATAACATTGATAGCAAGCATACTCACGACTGGACGTCTCCGTGGAGCCTTTGTACATTGATCAGAACGATCTTAATACGGAGCGTATGATGGACCTTATGGCGGTTTCCCAGGGTGACGGAGAATTGCCATTATACATGCATACCGCCAAGCGGATACTCCGGGAGATGAGGACCTCTCAACAAGAGACACAATCCGGCTTTGATTACAAGGCTTTTAAGAACAAAATCCTCGATTCTGGTCTGACTCCTGGCCAGCTCGAGCCACTAAAACAACGTTTGGAGATGTTGGAGAGCTTTATGCCCCAGTTGCAGGTTACCAAAGCGACATACAAAAGAGCGCAGACCCTACCGAAGCAAGGCTCGCTTTGGGAGCCGAAGGTGAGCATGATGCACCCATTGTCAGATGATGATGATTAACAATACATCTAGGCCGGCCAGTTGACAATTCTCGATCTCTCATGTCCGTGCATATCTCCTGGAACGGCGTGTTCACTTTTCAACATCTCGCTCGCCATCTTCATGGAGCAAGAGAGCGACATCGGGCGGGTCGTTGCACTTGATGAAGCACACAAGGTTAGCCCCCTACTTATTTTCTCGTTGAAGATTACTCCTAACAGTAGATATAGTACATGAAGACCTCTTCTGAAGCACAGGCGTTTACTGAAACGCTTCTCTCTGTCGTCCGCCTCCAGCGTCACCTTGCGGCTAGGATAATTATCTCGACCCAGGAACCCACGGTGTCAACGGATCTGCTTAATCTCTGTACTGCAACCATTGTTCACCGATTCACCTCCCCGGAGTGGTTGAGAATCCTGCAGAAGCATCTGGCGGGTGCGGCTACTAATCCTTTCTCTCGGAAGAAGGGTAAGGCTGGAGGTAGAGGCACTGATGGCGAAGAAGGGCAACTCGACGAAGCAAACGAGAAATCCTTGTTTAACCACATCGTTAATCTTCGTGTCGGTGAGGCGCTTCTGTTTTCTCCGAGCTCCATTGTGGACGTTAGCATTGACGAAGATGGCGGCTACGAACTCCGTAGGCTGGGGTCGGAATATCTCGCCATTAGGGTCCGGCAGAGAATCACGAAAGATGGGGGCCGAAGTGTTCTCGCGGTTTGATCTCTTGGACTTAAGATCATCATCTTGCCCAATTTGCAGTAGACGTAATTGAGTATTGTTTCTTGGATCTAGTGGAATGGTTGGGAAATTGAATCTGTTTTGGTGGCGCGGCACAGAAATATGTTGTGGAGACCTGACTGCACTGCCAGTTAGCAGTTTTAATATGAACACAATGGAATGCTCCAACAAATCATGCGACCGTCCATTATCAATTCTGAGTTCCATCATTTCCCTCCTTATTTCTCTAGAGATAGGCTACAATGCGTATGGTCCAATGTCTATCGAGATAATGTCTTTTGAATCGAAATCGAAGGAAAACATTTATATTCACAATCAAGCAAAATCCAATCCCCCTTTGCGCCGTCTATCCCTATCATAATACAAAGATCATTACAGTCGCATAAAAGTACAATGGTATATACAGTCATTAGTGATCCACATAGTTCCATCACTCTCATTATCATCTCATCAAAAGGAAAACATTAGACATCATTGACAACTTTATCCTCAGTCATGGCACTCTCCCCGGTATCAGCAGCACTACCAAGTTGCCGACCGTAGGCCGACTTCGGTCCATACTGGTCGTCATGGCGCTGCGATAGGAAGAGGATAACCGTACTAACATTTATTAGAATATCTTCCGATGAAAGTGAAAGACGAGAACACCATACCTAACAGTCGTGAATACCCATCCCGGCCAAGCCAGAACAGCGGATGCGATCGCCCGCGGGTTCGTATGATATTCTATTCCTTCATGTTAGCACGAAGCACCACTGTACGGAGTTATATCAGACAAGGACATACTCAAAGCAGGCTTCTTCATCGATTCCTCCCAAAACTTCCGCGCCGTTGACGCATCCGTTCCATCGATGCGGGCACTTCCCGTCGCTGTGATGATCTATCCCCATTGTTAGCCTTACATCCATCTCAAACCCATCTCCAGCTATCATACCGTCATCGTCAACGCCGAACTCAGCATCATGACCGACACAATCACGGCACAAATCTTCCACGCCAACCGGACAGAGTGACTTTCGTGACGTTCCGGCCAGAATAAATCGAAGAAGAACGCCCCACCAAATATGAATGCGACGGCGATTCCGACGAAGATGTTGTATGATGCGGCGCCGATGAAGTCGTTATTGTAGACGTAGATTCCGGGATGTTGGTTTTGGATTTCGTCTTGTTGGTCGAGGTAGTCTATTGACATATTTAGTCAGCATTCGCGAATCTTTAACTTGCAGTGGGCAGAAGGAATGAAGCTAACCAGACAACGCCGCCGTCCCAACCGACTCCGAACAAACACAGAAAATCATAGCGAGCTGATAGACAATCATCTTTGTGCGACGGAGATGATATATGCGGGTGAACATGTAGGAGCTCTTGAATTTGCTCCATTGCATTTCATGGAGATCTAACCCCCAGATGACTGCCATTATTGATTTTTCTTAGATTGGAAATGAAGAGGGGAATAGGTATGATGAGAATATGGAAGTGCTATTCTGTCCATCATTTTACTTATAAGAGGACATGCTAAGTAGACAAAGAATGAAGGCAGGGACCACGTCAGGGCTGCATTGATAATCTTGTTTTGTCAGGGTCGGCGGAAGGGCGATCCGTGACGTCAGGCGGGTCCAGCCCGGTTCCACTGCTTTTTTAACACTGTCATTATTGTTTCTGCATTCTGCAACTTTCATTGCAGCTACCAGCTAGATAGTACCGCGCTGGCATCCATCATTGGTTTACACGTGCTGGTGGCGTTCCATGGCGCTTCGCTTATGCTGATGTCGTCGTTGTTGGGTAGGGCTTCTGGATGGGGCCCTCAATGGGGGGGTGGTACTTAGTTCTTCATGGGGGCGAATGCAGGGCTGCATACTGGGTTAGACCTGTTGAAGTAGAACCAGTCTGATAAATATAATTATAACAACTGTGTCAAGTATAGACAAGCTATAGAAGCAATATTAAGCATGTTCCCAACCATACTGCACCAGTGGATCTGGCATCTTGGCCACCAGGAACAATGTTGCCAATTCCGGCAATTGATTATATCATCATCCTCGTCTTGTCTGAACCAGTGAAATTCATCGTCTCAGCAGGGTCGGACAGAGATGATGGATGGGATCGATCGGCCTCGTAATTATCTCGGCAATGATGTCAACGCGTTGGACATCACCGAGATGTGACGGACCCTTTGCGGTCTCGGCTTTCCGCGTCAGTCTAATCCGAGATCGGAAATACGGAGATCATTACCCACAGCGTATGTATGCTCCATCGACGCCACGATGTGTTCTCTGACTCTGTAACTGAACATATAAACTTCGACTACATGTACGACAGCGAGCGACAAAACTTCCTCGTCACCTCCAGCACCAAAACCACATGCTCCCGCTGATGCACCAGATTGACTGCAAACGACCCCCGATGCGCCATATACACGCCCCCTTCCAACTGATAGAAATAATAGAGATCCCGAATCATGTCCCCCTTCTCCCCCAAGAACTTCACTCCCACCGTGCTCCCTATCCCACTAACGACCACATCAAGCCAAGCACACCACCTTTGCTCAAAAATGCGACGTAATCCATCCCTCAAATAATCCCCCAGATCATTCGCCCTCTCCAGCGCCTCCCGACTCATCAAATTGGCCGCTACAACACCAGCCGTCATTGAAAACACATTGTTATTCCACGTCCCAGTATGGAATAACGACTGCTCTTCTCCCGGCCTAAACGACCGCATAATGCCCTTCTTCCCGCCAAACGCTCCGAACGAGAACCCGCCGCCGAAGTGTTTCCCTAAAGTGGTCATATCCGGTACAATACCATACCGTTCTTGAAGTCCGCCATAGCAGAGTCGTGATGTGACGACTTCGTCGAAGATGAGTACTGCCTGCAGCCGGGTCGCTTCATCCCGTAAGAATTGCAGAAAGGGGATCTCAGCGGGGATCATCCCCCCTGCCGCCTGCATGGGTTCCACGAGGATGGCAGCAATGTCGGAGGTGAGCTTTGCTCGGGTATCCGGGATGTCGTTGTAATTCGCGACAATGAATTCGTGCGGGAGGTTGAGGGCGGTGTTAGCCCCGAAGGTGAGCGTGCCTCCATGATAGCCGTTTTTGAAGACGAGGATCTGAGGATTTCTTAGCCCTGAGCCAGGTGGAAAAGGATGAATAATTGAAAAGTACCTTCTTTCTTCCCGTGTATGCGACAGCAACCCCCAAAGCAAACATATTCGCCTCCGTCCCCGAATTGCAGAACCGGATTGCGTCTATACTTGGGAACCGCGAGATAAGAAGTTGCGCCAGTTCACCCTCTTTGCTGGTAACACCGCCCAGCGTGAACCCTTGCTGCGTGACAGATTGTATGGCCTCAATGATGGCCGGATGCGAGTGCCCAAACATGCCTGCTGTGTATTCAGAGACAAAGTCTACGTATTCGTCTCCGTCTAGTGAGGTGAGATAGCAGCCATGTCCGCCGCGGAAGACCAGTGGGTGCGGGATGTGAACGAGCACACCGCGCGAGGTGCCACTGGGGATACTGTTTTCAGCTGATTGAATGGCTGCGCCTGATTTTAAGTTCTTAGCGCGGAAGACTTCAAGCTGATAGCTCAGGGAGTTGTTTAAAACTGTGGCTGAGGATTTGTCTGACTGATAGGCCATGGTGGTGATGTTCGATTCTGAATGTTTAAGAACAGGTAGTTGTAAGTTGGTTCGAGTATAGGGATTGTTAAGGAGGATTAGATTTGATAGCAGATGAGGCTAGAGATTTAGAGGTGTTGTGTTGCCCAATGTGCCGTGCGGGGTTGAGACAATCGAGATAAGCATCGGCCGATCAGTGCTGATTCTGATGCTGATTCGAATTGACGTTAGTGTAGATGTAAGAGATATATATGTCTCACAGTTACTGCATGCAAGTCAAACTGACAATTAGAAGGCCCCCCTCATTTGTACCGCTCCTCATAGCGAGCTCTTACCCAAAAAGGAAATCCGTACGGCTTCACAGAAAGGCACAAAAGATCACGTGAGAGGTTTCACGTGATGAATATCAGGGAATGTTCCACAAATTCGTGTGTAGCAACGCCTTCATCGATGAATCACTATATAAATTTAAGGAGGTCACACATCAAGTTAAGAGCCAGAGTACTTTTTCTGTACATCTCTCAGCGGCCGTTCAACAACATACTCTTTCCACATTGCCTAATACAGTGCCACATACCCTACGCAACATTAACATTCTCCACCCTCTCCGTCCCACCCTTCCCATCCCCCGTCTGCAATTCCACCTCTACCCCATCATGCCCATCAACCACCTTCTTCTCCCCCGAAACATTCACATCCGTCGTCCGATGCCCATCCAACAGCTTTCGACTCACCGTATTCGCATAAATTGGGAATACCCACGCGAGGACATAAAACGCCGTCGGGATCGCCATGGCCTTGTGAAAGTTGCCCGTATGCGTGGCCACAGCTCCAGTCATGGGCGGGATGGCAGCACCACCAGAGATAGCGGCTACTAGCATACTGCCGCCACGCTTGGTGTGTTGGCCTAGACCGCGTAGGGCAAGGGTGAAGATTGTGGCAAAGCAGGCCTGTAATTATTCATATTATTATGGGGCGGAAGTGGAGGTGAGTGTGGGGTGACATACACTTTCAAAGCACAGCACAAGGATCAACATAGCAACACTCGTAGGGCCAGATGTGGTGGTTGCAGCGACACCGAAAATGAAACAGAGTCCTAAATATGTGGCGAGGATGTAGCGGGGTTTTACCCCGACAGTGATGAGGCCGCTGGAGACGAAGCGCATGAAGGTATATAGGCCTTGGCCGACGGCGAGAAGGTCGGCTGATGAGACGTTAGAGGCACCCTCCAGTCAAAGTGATAAGGAAAGGAAGAGAGAGACTTACATGACTTGGCAGCACTATACCCCGCCTCCTCGGCGAAATTGATAAAGTAGTTCGCAACAGCCACCTGCGCCCCGGTATAGCAGAACTCACTCCACACGCC